GAGAGAGAGAGAGTGCGGGCGAAAGGAGAAAAGGGAGAACGGATGGAGCCGGCCGCATTTTCAGCGCGAAATTACATTTAGCGTGTACCCCCAGGCATCGGGGGGAGGAGGGGACGAGTGTCATGCCCCGCTGAAACGACGGGGACGTTTATAGCCCTTTGATGTATTTCGAGCCCTACATGCGTTCGTCTGGGCAACGTAAACAATCTCTCTATTTCCCGCGATACGGACAGACGGAATCCCGGCATCTTCACGCCGCATTATTTAGCTAGTTAAAAGTGACCGTACGATTGCGTCGTTATTTCGTTTATCAAATACCAAATGCAGATCATGGTTTTTGACGTCAATAACCGTGAAATCTCGTGCGGATGGATCTAATGATAAGTGAATTGATTATTTTTAAATGTTATAAACTCTAAGAATTCGATAATATTGCAAAGATCAATCGCTATATTATTCCATTATTATCCATATAAAAATTTTTTTAACATATAAATTTAAGCTTTTTTAGCTTTAAGAAGAAAAAAATAAAGAATAAATTAAATTCAGATTAAAATTAATCTACATTGATAAAAAAAAATGGACATTACAATCAAATTTTGATCATTAATTTAATTGGCGATGTAATATACTATTACATCTGTTAACATGAATAAAATAAGCAATTTTTCATCATTTAATACATAAAAAAAATTCGATTAAAAAAAAATAAATTGCACATTCAAAAATTTTGCAATAAGCAATTTTTTGCAATAAGTCAATTAAGTTAATCAGAATTTGATCAAAATTTCCCCTGATAACATATATTTTTATCAAAACATATTCGATAGTATAGAAGAGATACGTGCTTTTCTGCAATATTCGCGTGCTGTGATGTTGTTTATTCGCGAAATAGCAACATGATCTCAAAACAATCGAATATTCAGTAATTTGAAACATATCAATGTTTGACAAATAGTAATAATATAATATAATAATAATTAATAATACAAATATTTCACAAATAATTAAGTTATAGACGAATATTTATCAATTGTAAGTATTGCTTTATTGAAATGTACTTTTATTTTAATATATCTTGCAAGAATTTTGTGTATTTTCCCGTTTCTGACGTCATGATCTGAAATAGTAGTGAATGAAGAGTAGTAAGATCTGCTACGTACAAAATATTCGAATATAATTTGATATAATGTAGCCTCTTAAATGATGAAATCATTAATGCATGTCATTACTAAATAACATGACAAAATCATTATCGAGTGTTTACATAATCAGTAAAAATCGGTTAAAATGTTATGTACTTTTATATGTCAATAATTTATATATATAAAACAGCTTTTAAAATGTGTACCAATCCGATGTGCCGATGATGAAATTCGTTAGTAGATAAAAAGCACGCGCTACGAATCATTCAAACACGAATTCATGTTTTGGAGTATATTTATAACTCGCATACTATACAAGTATCGCAAATGTGCAAAGGAGAACGATGCTCAACGATATTTTTGTAATGAGACCCTATCTGAAGCAAGCGTTTCAACTTTTTTCTTATTCGCGATCATCATCCAGCGTCTGAGGAAACGTCGGTCAAGCGCGGTCGCTGCGCAGATTAAGAAAAGAAGGTATTAAAAAGACGACGGTCATACGTCGTTTCAAAGGGTTAAAGTCTGGTGTCGTCGCCGCGACGGCGTCATCCCCCGCCGATACAGAATCGCGCGCGGCGATCGGTTGGTCCAGCACCAACTCTCGAGACTGAGAGCTCGTGGGAAAGAGAAAGAGAAAGAGAGAGAGAGAGAGAGAGAGAGAGAGAGAGAGAGAGGAAGAAGA